AGAAGGTTTCTAGTATTGATTTAAAATCTTTTTAAATCAATATTTTTTTGTATGGAAATCATGTCCATCATTATTTGTAGAGCTGTCACTCAGATTTATATGACAACTAGGCATATTAAAATATTATACTTTATATTTAACATGTGTGCAGCTGTCCCTGGTAGGCTAGTGGTTAAGGTGCAGCGCTCTCGCCACTGCGCCCAGGGTTGCGTCAGGAAGGGCATTCGGCGTAAAACGTGCCAAATGTCAACATGCGAGTCGTCACACTGACGACTCGCATGTTCCCACGGGAAAAGCCAAAAGTGACTTTCTATATTTAACGTGTGCTTTTCTTTGTTCTTTATTCCTTATGTTCATAGTTTTCAGATTATGTATATATTGTACGTATACAGTAACTGGTGTCATCGCAGACATTCCTCCCATCTCATTGCTCTTGAATGCTAATAGGATTTGACTGTTCAGTAGTGATTTCACCTAACAACAATATGACATGCCATTAATTAACCCAACCCCTTTTTCTATTTTATTTTCTTATCTCTGTTCCTCTCTAGACTCTTTGGTCTGAAGGACATCATCATACCAGGAAACTGCTCCTTGCCCTATGACCTCAGCCTCAATGATAATCACGATTGGCCAGTTTATGTCAATCCAGGAATACTGTTCCTTCTCTACATGACCATAGCAATTATTCTCAAGACAGGACGTCATGGAACACCTAACCAGGTACGCCATCTTTTTTCCTGCAACCGGCCAAAGTGTGTACCTAGCAAAGAATATTGAAATTTTTCAAAACATAACAAGTAAAATAAAAAATAAGCTGTCATTGGGTAAAGTGTCACATTGGATGTTTTCTGTTGTGCTTCCTGTGAATTAGGAATCTTTGTGAACTTAGTGGCAAAGTGCAGACGCCCAGTATGTCAGGACATTATACATTGTAGGTGGACATGCTAGAGCTTTTAGTCAAAAGGTCCACACGGTGCTGCTTGTGTTTAGACAACTTTCACATCTGAAGACAGTTGAAGGTTCTGTAGAAAAAAAAAAGTTCACTTCACATTTCTCAAAGATACTGAAAAAAGTATCATTTTGATCTTGGTACCATAACTCAGGCAGCCTATCATAATGGCCCTAATCCTGAAAAAGTGAACTACTTGTAATTCAAATCAACCCCTGACTAAACTTAAGGTTTTTCACAATACTGAAAATCTTTCAGGTAATTTATGTTTTACATCCTTTTACACCTGTGACACCACTGGTGGGCAGATACACTGTGCTGAGTCCACTGTTACATCTGTTTGGACATGCAGTGAAGTGGGAGTTACATCTCATCATTACATTTATTTTCAAGGAATGAGCCTGTGACTGTGCTCAGCTCATTGCTCTCTCAGACTGTTGGTCAGTGAGGATTGGAGTGCCAGTGGGAAAAAATCTGTTATGACTTTGCAACCATGTGAAACTTTTGCATTGCAACTTTTTCATCTTCTTCAGAAAGTTGATGTGCTCCTTCTGAGAGGTGTTTGTGGTCACCAGGTCACAGAGGGGCAGCAGCAGGCAAAAAGAGAAGCATTAAAAGAGGAGATGGTGGAGTTAAGGTCATGGAATCCACAGAAGGACAACTGTGAAGATGACACACAGGTAATTATGCACATCTCTGTGTCAGCTCCTACTTAGGACTCAAGCTACTGTATATGGGCTTTGACAGTCTAATGCTCTTACAAGCATGTGAATTATTCTACTACCTTAAATTGAAACACTTCAGGAACTGGGACCCTTCTTTCTTTTTCACTGACTATTGATATTGATGATTTAGTTTTTTTTTTACTGCGTATCCTGAAATATTACCAAATTCAACCTAGTGTAAATAATAGTGGAGATAATGGCCATCCTCTTTTAATATTAATTGGTTGTGAGATATTTCTATTTGATAAAATGTCAGCTGTAGGTTTTTTTGTAGTGCTCTCTGAACCCAGAGCTCTCCAATACATTAAAAAGACCCTATCAAAAGCCTTTTCTGCATCCAGTGATAAAAGGCCTGTATCTGAAGTTACTTTACAGTTGTGTATAATATTTAGTACTCTTCTTACACTATGAAAACCCTGCCTTCCTGTTATAAATCCATTTCTCTGTCAGTAATTCTTGACATTAAATGTTTACATTACAGTAGTTTCACTAGGATTTTACATAAAATTTTCAGATCAGGATTCAACAAGCTTATCAGCTTCATATTTTGAGGTATGATAAGAGCAGTATCCGTGGAGGGTGGAAGGCTCTCGTCTTGACATACCTCTAAGAGCATTTCCAAAAGTGGCATTAACAATTAGGTTTTAATTTTTTTTTGTACAAATCAGTTGGAAAATCATATAGTTCTGCTTTTTCCCCAGATTTCATAGTCTATAGCACTTCCAATTTCTTCTTCAGTAATTTATGACATTCAGATTTACTTAGCTCTGTCACCAAGCGACTATGGTCCCTTAGATTCACTCTGTCAGCGCTTAGAGCAAGTATAGACCTGGATGCAATCTGATTTACATCAGTTAAATAAAGACAAGACTAAAGCTATTGTTTTTGGCAACAACGACAGGACAGAAGTTACTAATCAGCGTGATTCTTGAGCTATAAAGACAAAAACCAATGTTTGAAACCTTGGTGCCCTAATTAACTCAGACCTGAACTTCACCAGTCACATCAAGACCATAAATAAATCAGCTTTTCATCATCTCCAACAAATAGCAGACAAGATTTAGAGAAACTCTTTCAGCAGGCTGGACTTTTATAATACAGTCTTTTGGCTGCTCTTCCCAGAAAGACTGTTCCATCAGCTTCAGCTCATTCAGAGTTTTAACAAGACTGAGCACATCCTTACACTGGTTACCAGTTACTCACAGAATCGATTTTCCAGTCAGACTTGAGTCCTACTATGCTGCCTGTACTTGTTTCATTTATTGCATTCAGGGCAACTCACAGCTTGTTACTGCACTGTAACAGCTAGATAATTGTTTTACTTTGTTTTTATTTTCATTTTATGTATTTCATCTCATTTTAACAATGATTTATCTTCATTTTTTCCTTAACAGATTGTATTCTGTTTAATGCCGTTACTGTTTTTCTTTGTCTATGTAAAGCAATTTGAATTGCCTCTGTGTATGTAATGTGCTATAAAAAATAAAGCTGCCTTGCCTTGGGAAAATCCCCAAAGTGGCAGCTGGGTGACACTGTACCAGAAACCAGACATGTAGTCTCAGTACAAAATTTGCGGCACATTTTCCATGAGAGTAACATCAACTTGGCTTTGTATTGCCTCATCTGAATGACTCTCCGTTGTTCTCACCTCTCTGCCGACTATATACCATGTGCTCTGTGCTGGGCACAAAAATGCCTCAGAGAGAGGCAAAGAGAATTTTAAGGTCAGGGAAACACCAAACTGTCAGTGCTGGTTGCTGTGCCGTGACAAAAAACAGGACCTATTCTTTAAAATTGTATATACAGCACATAATCATTGTGTATGTTAAGTTTAATATCTATGCCTTAAATGATTTGTGTGCTCTTCTGTTTCAGCTTATGCTCCTGGGAACAGATAGCAGCAAAGGAGGAACTATGACTGGAGAGAATCAGCCAGAACTGGGTATCAAATGCCCTGTCACTACTTGTGCTTATCTTTACGTTGAGTATTGAGCCACTGGCACAGGCAGTACAAAACGAAGGAATGCTGGATAGTAATGAGACTGATAAAATCTCCTTACATGTAGATGATATGTTAGTTTATCTGTCAGAACCTTTGAATTTAGTTCCAAGACAAATGGACTGCTGGGTCTTGTTTGGTAAGCTCTCAGGATAGGTGGAACTGAAGTGCTGGATCTGAATTCACACATTACATCCCAGAAGCTGCATTTTTCATTACATGTCTGGTGTATGGTATCAAATACCTAAGCACCATCATATCACACAACTTGGAAAAATTATATAAAACAAATAACAAATTATTAGAGAAGATATTCATGGCCCTTCATAGGAGGGTGTTGCTTCCTCTCACTTTATCAGGCAGAATAGAATGGATTAGAATGATGTTGTGATCTAGGCTATTATTTTTCTTAGAAAACCCAGCCCAACTCACCACCCAAATACATGTTTACATGTTTAATCTTCAGGTTTACTTGGCAAAGTAGGCAACCATGGGTTAGCTACAAGATTTTGCATCAGCTAGAACACATGGGCAGTTGGCCACTGCCTAACCTGAGACACTAGCAATTTGGGTTATTTATAAAATAGTTACAAGATGGTTAGAGACTGAGAAATCAGCCTGTATTCACTGATGATTATTCCTAGATGGAGGCCTTAGGTCAAAACAA